AAAGGAGGCTATGAGAATGCGTGATCCCCTCTACAGCATGGACCGTCTGCTCGCTCAGGGTGGCAGTCTCCAAGCGAGGCGGGGCCGTCGCTCTGGTGTACCCCTCCGGTGTGCCCCTGCCTGTCCCTCTTCTTTTCCTTCCCTCCCGCTCCCCTTTCTCTTCCCTTCCCCTCCCCTCCCCTTCCCCCTTTTCACCTTCGCCTCCTTCTTCCTCCCCATCCACTTCCGCACACAAAACACCACCATCGCTGCAGCTGTAACCGCAGCGCTACAGGAAAAGGCAGCCGAAAGCGCCAAAACATGCAACTAAATAAAAACGGGGAGACGTCATCAGGGAACGTTGACAGGCATGAAACCCAACTAGAGGCTAGCCCGAGCACATGAGACAGGCCTCCTTGTTCTCCAGGGAGCACGCAAGGCGCTCCGCCTCCTCCTGGCGATGCTTCTGGCGTTCGAGGGCGTTCTGGAAGCCGTCGTCCTGGGCGGCCGCGTCCGCCATCGCCTTCTTCCCGGGACCGTCCTGGGTGACGGTGCCGTCGACGCCGAGGCGGCCGACGCTGTGGACAACGTCCTCATACGCCTCCGCAGAGAGCGCCTCGGCCGGCGGCTGCGCGCGCGCATCCGGCTCGCTGGCGGCCTGCGGGACAGCGCTGGGGACGGGCGCCGGCGCGGGGACGCCCGCGGACTTCTTCGTCGCCTTCGCGGCCGCGACATCCTCGTTGCTGACCGTGAACTGGATCGCGTTCGCAGCAGGACGCGAGCGCAGGTAGTAGGTGCCGGTCTTGAGGCCCTTCTTCCAGCCGTAGAAATGCATCGAGGTAAGCTGGCCAAACGTGGGCGCGCTCAGGTGTATGTTCAGGCTCTGGCTCTGGCAGATGAATGCACCGCGGTCTGCGGCCATGTCGATGATGACCTTCTGGCTGATCTCCCAGACGGTCTTGTACAGCGCCTTGATGCGGTCCGGGATGCCGGGCACGTTCTGGATGGAGCCGCCGTGCGCGATGATGCGCTGCTTCATCTGCTCGTTCCAGAGGCCCTGCTCCACGAGCTCGCGCAGGAGCCACGGGTTCACCACCTGGAACTCGCCTGCGAGCACACGGCGCATGTAGATGTTGCTCGTGTACGGCTCGAAGCACTCGTTGAACCCGAGGATCTGGCTCGTGGACGCGGTCGGCATCGGCGCGACGAGGAGTGAGTTGCGCAGGCCGTGCTGCGCAATCTGTGCCTTGAGCGAGGCCCAGTCCCACAGGTCGGTCGGCGTCTTGTTCCACATGTCGTACTGCAGGATCCCCTGCGACACGGGGCTGCCCTCGTACGTCTCGTACGAGCCGAGCGCCGCGGCGAGCTCGCTCGAGCGCTCGAGCGCCGCGTGGTAGATGGTCTCAAAGATCTGTTGGTTCAGGAGACGCGCCTCCACGCTGTCGAACGGGTAGCCCATGATCATGAACGCGTCCGCAAGGCCCTGGACGCCAATGCCAATGGGCCGGTGGCGCATGTTCGAGCGGCGCGCAGTCTCGACGGGATAGTAGTTGATCTCGATGATCTTGTTCAGGTTCTTGCACACGACCTTGGCGACGTCGTGCAGGCGCTGGAAGTTGTACTTCTTCGTGCCGCCCGTGCCCTCGATGAACGTCGGCAGCGCGATCGACGCGAGATTGCACACGGCGGTCTCCTCCGGGGAACTGTACTCCATGATCTCGGTGCACAGGTTGGAGCTCTTGATCACGCCGACATTCTTCTGGTTGCTCTTCCCGTTCGCTGCGTCCTTGTACAGGATAAAGGGGGTGCCCGTCTCGATCTGCGACTCGAGGATCGCGTACCAGAGCTTCTGCGCCTTCACCGTGCGCTTCGCGCGGCCCTCGCGCTCGTACCGCTCGTACAGCGCCTCGAACTCTGCGCCGTGGCAGTCCGCGAGCCCGGGCGACTCCGCGGGGCACAGCAGCGACCAGTCGCCGTTCTGCTCCACACGCTTCATGAACAGATCGGGCATCCACAGCGCGTAGAAGAGGTCGCGCGCGCGCACCTCCTCCTTGCCGTGGTTCTTGCGTAGGTCGATGAACTCGAACACGTCCGGATGCCACGGCTCCAGGTACACGGCAAACGCGCCGGGGCGCTTGTTCCCGCCCTGGTCCACGTACCGCGCCGTGTTGTTGTACACGCGGAGCATCGGCACGATGCCGTTGCTGACACCGTTCGTGCCGGCAATGTACGAGCCAGTGGCACGGATGTTGTGGATGTGCAGCCCAATGCCGCCTGCGGTCTTGCTGATCATCGCGCAGGTCTTCAGCGTGTCGTAGATGCCCTCGATGGAGTCGTCCTTCATCGCCACGAGGAAGCACGACGACATCTGCGGGCTCGGCGTGCCTGCGTTGAAGAGCGTCGGCGACGCATGCGTGAAGGCCTTCTCGGACATGTAGTTGTACGTCTCAATCGCGCTCTCCACGTCGCTGCCGTGGATGCCGACGGCGACGCGCATCAGCATGTGCTGCGGACGCTCCGCGACCTTGCCGTTGATGCGCAGCAGATACGAGCGCTCGAGCGTCTTGAAGCCGAAGAAGTTGTAGTGGAAGTCCCGCTCGTAGATGATCGAGGAGTCAAGCGTGTCGCGGTTGTCCATCACCGCCTTGTACGTCTCCTCCGAGATCATCGGGCTGGGCTTCTGCGTGCGTGGATTCACTGGTCGCGTCAGACGGCGGCGCGCCGCGGGCCCACGCACCATACTCGTACAGGTCCTGGATCACCTGGCTGAACGTTTTCTTCGTCTCTTTGTGCAGGTTGCTGATGGCAATACGCGCAGCGAGCACTGCGTAGTCCGGATGCGTCGTCGTCTTGTACGCGGCGGTCTCCGCGGCGAGGTTGTCGAGCTCCACGGTAGTGACGCCCTCGTAGATCCCGTCTACCACCTACGCGCCGTCAGCCGCACGCCCGCAGTGGTGCACGTACCTTGCGTGTGATCTCAATGGGGTCCACGTAGTTCATGTCGAGCCCATAGCACAGCTTCGACACGCGCGCGGTGACCTTGTCGAAGCGGACCTCTTCTTTGCGGCCGTCTGCCGCGTGAGCGGGATGCACGCACACGCATACACACCTCGCTTGTAGACGTAAATCATGATGGGAGAAGGATGCCCTGCGTCGCAGCTGAGACGGGGGTGAACGAGGTTAGAGAGGGAGGGAGAAATGCAGCGCGCGCGCAGTTGCCACACGGCCTCGGCGCGTCTCTGCTGCTTTAACGAACGCGCGTACGCGACACAAAACAACGCGTGGTTCGACGCGTTGCACTGCCCTATCGATTGGCGCGTTCCGCAGCATGATTCCGCGCGCGTACGCGAATGGCGATAACACTCGGCCGACGGCGGCGCCGTACGGGTAGGAGCGCAATATAATGCACTGCGGAAGCCCGTCCTGCACAAAGCAGGCGAGTCAATGCAGGCCGCATGCGACACAACGGGACTCGTCGTTTTGGTCGGGTAGTCCCCGATGCATGGCCGCCGCGAGGTGCAGCGAGGAACAGCCCGTGCCAGCAGGACAGACAAACGCCGGCCCCCCTCCGCCGACAGACGGCCTTGGAACGGGCCACGGGCGCCCAGCAGCGCTTACGCACAGGAGTGCCTGTCCATAGCACGGCGCATGACAGTACTGACGATAGAAAATATCAAGATCGGTTCGGACTGGGACTACTTTAGAGACGAACCAATCCTAACTGCAACGAAGTCATCGCAGATGCTCACGGGTATGCTTCAACAGTTGACCCAGAGAAGTTGCGGGTACGTCGTCAAAGGGCGAAAGAATGGGCTCAGAAGGACGCATTACTCAATTAGCAGGGCACAGTGCCAGCGTGCGAAGCACTGCGGCATCAACAAAATTGTGCAGGCTTTTACGCGAGACCCTCCTGGACGCCCCGGCCGCCGCGGAACGCACGGAATGCTAGGAAGCAGATAACACCAAGCAGCAACGTGAGTTCAATCCTGTTTCCGTCAGCACCCGGTACGCAACAACAAGTACATACCAGCCAATCCAGCCAAACGCAACCAGGGCCTGGAGAGCGTCACCGTTGCGGATGTGGTACTCCGAGTACTTGGACGAGTCCGTGACCTTGGCCGAGAGCGCGGCAGAGCCGGCCAGCCAGAAGACCCATGTCACAAAGATAAACACGGCGTGGCTGGCAATCGACGAGAAGGGACCGCCAATGCCCGTGATGAAAAGGACCAGCTGCAAAGCGTCAGCTTGGAGCCCGGCAGCAGAGCGGATGCACGTACATAAACAATGGAGAAGAGAACACTCCACCAGCCGGTAAACACCATGAACCGCGTAGAGTCGCGGACCTCGCCAAGGGGCTGGCCATTCGAGTTGAAGTTGGCCACGAGCACCGATGCGATGATCGCAACGATGAACGAGAATACCGCAAACAGGCCGAACGCAATCGGGTGGCCGCGGCGGACAATAGTGCTGAGGTCCATCATGGTGGTATACGTATTACTTGAAAAAAGTGGTTGGAGGTGTGAAGTTGTTCGTAGCAGGCCGCTTTGTATACTCCAGGGAACCTGGGTTGCTCGTGGTCAGACAGAAACACTGACCCGATCCGGGCCCGGAATGTTGTGGACGTATAGGCTTGACGCACTCGTCTGGGCCAGCCATGCAACACCCATAACAACAATACCTGAATGTGCGAATGACCTAGTCCGTTCAATGCACGTCAGCGATACCGCATACGGCAAAACATCAGTAGAACCCAGTAGTAACGCATTATGACGTAACTTGCAAATGGTGGCTAGCGATGCGTCATCCATGGTTACCATATGCAGTAAGTGTCCGCGGCAAAACACTGCACGCATTTGCGCAACCGAAATTTCAGCGCATGCAGGGCCAGGGCCTAACGCCGGGGAGGCACCAAGGACGTGTCCCAAAAAAAAAAAAAAAAAAGGAAAAGGGTAATAATTCGCAAAACACCCCATCGCTTCGCGGGGCGATCGATTGTGGCGAAAACAAAAGGGGAGAAAAAGTGACTTTACCCGGGCTCGAACCGGGGACTTTCACGGTGACACCGTGGACCACGAATTTGTGTTAACGTGATACTCTAACCAACTGAGTTATAAAGTCGCGACGCTGCTGAGTCGTCTGGTCGTGCCATATGCGTGCTGGCCCCGGGCTACGGCGCTGCGCGCCTCTCTCCCCGTCACCCGTTGTGCTTCCTGCGTAGTGCCATGGGTATCCGGTGCTATGGCACGGCAGTAACTGCTACTCATCATCCTCGTCGGTGTACCCGCCCTCGTCCACACTGACGTTCCCTCCATTCTCGTCCACACTGGCTTCCCCCCCACCCTCGTCCTCGTCCTCGTCCTCGTCGAACGCCGGGTTGTCGTCGTCGTCGTCGAACTGCGTACCGCGCAGCCCCTTGACCTTTTTGAAATTGAGTGCAGAGAGATCCTGCTTCCCGACATGCACGCGGCCGACCATATCGCCCATCTCGTCCGTGCCGATGTTCTTGCGCTTGCCCTTGCCCTGTGTGTTCCTCTGCGCGGCCGTCTTGGGGCGCCGAAGAGCCTGCACCATTCGGTCGGGCGCCGCGGGGAGCCTGCGGCGCAGCTCGAAGTCGAATGACGGCCCCGCGGGCGAGAGCTCCACGCGCGGCGTCTTCGTACCCGACGCGATCATACGCACAGTGTACACACGCATGTGGACAGTGCATGGCGGGCACCTGTGTACAGCGCTGCCGCCATGGATGTGCTCGGCGATGCCCGCTGCCCGGTACAGCGACGCCAGGTCGTTCGGCTTCGCATCCGCTTTGCCTGTCTTCGTAGGCGACACGGTGACGGAGATGACGTATTCGAGGCCACCAAGCGCGATGCTGTTCGGGTTGAGCTCCTCGCCGCGGTAGAAGTCCAGCAGGAGCGACTTGAGATGGAGAAAAGCCCCAGACGCGTCGCCTGCAGCGCCTGCGGACGCAAGCCGGTCGCCATCCTCGGGGTCCGCGAACTCGGGACCCGAGAAGTGAAAGAGCGGGCGCATCCCGACGCCCGGCTTGCTGCCGCCAAACGCCTTCATGCTGGAGGCATCGAGGATGCCCATCTCGAGGATGTCCAGGACCTGCCCCTCGAAAACGCGGACCCAGGCGAGGTTGTCCGGGCGCTTCTTCTGGCTGCTCCCCACCACGAACAGGCTCGCATCATTCTTCTGCGCCCAGAACTCGATGCTGCTCGCGTCCTCGAAGGGGAGCACGTCGTTGTGCTTGTTGAACGGGATCGCATCTGGCTTCTTGAGCGCAGCAAGCTCCGATAGCGCCGTGTTCACCCTGTCTGAGGTGCGCGTGCCTTTCACGAACACAGCCGTCTTCGCGTTCTCGAACTCCTTCGCGTCGCGGTGCGCGAGCGCGCGCTTGGAGCGTGCGTTCTTGGGCTTCACAGCGCGAAGCATCGTGGCGGGAGACCAGGTGTTCGGCCGGGGCTGGGAAAAAAAAAATGCGTGCGCAGCCGCGCACTGCACTCCACTTCCGCCGCGATGATTTCGTCGGCGGCCTGGATTGCGCGCGGGAAGGCTGCGCGCCATCCGACGAAATTCGAGGTAAACGATGAAGAGGTCGCGCGCATGGGCGAACTCGCGCGGCGCGAGCTCGGTGTCGCGAATGCGCAGCTCGCGGAGGCGCAGGCGGCGGACGACGACGGCTGGGAGGACGAGGCGGACGGGGGCGACGGCGCCGGGGGCGGCAGCGACGACGATGACGGCGACGAGGACGACGACGACGAGGACGACGACATGGACGACGCAGGCGCAGCCCCGGACGACCTCACCCGGTACCGACTCGACGAGTACGACGCGGAGCCGAGCCAGAGCATTGCGATGGGCGCACTCAGCAATATCCGCGGGCTGCAGGCGTTCCGGGACAACGACAAGGACCCGTACATCACGCTGAAGGACGACGCCGGGGACGACGCGGAGGAGCGCGAGCAGCTGGAGGTGCTTCCGTCGGACAACCTCATCGCGACGGCCAAGACAGAGGACGACGTGTCCATGCTCGAGGTATACGTGTACTCCGCAACGGACGAGAATTTGTACGTGCACCACGACCTGCTGCTCCCCGCGTTTCCGCTGGACCTCGCGTGGCTCGACTACACGCCGGCGCCGGCGTCTGCGTCGCGCGGCACGGTCGCGGGCACGATGGGCAACTTGGTCGCCATCGGCACGATGGATCCGGAGATCGAGATCTGGAACATGGACACGGTCGAGGCGATGTACCCGGACGCGATCCTCGGGCGGAAGGACCTGACCGAGGCGCTCGATGCGCCCGCAGGCACCGGAAAGAAGAGTGCGCTGCGCACGTACGCGGACTGACCGCAGGGCGACGGACCCCCAAGGCGCGCGTGCCAAACGCGACCCACCACGTGGACGCGGTGCTCTCGCTCTCGTGGAACCCGCGGGTGCGCAACCTGCTCGCGTCTGGGTCCGCGGACACGACGGTGAAGATGTGGGACCTGTCGCGCCCGTGCGCGGGGACGGAGGCGTGCGCGCTGCGGAGCTTCGACGCGCACACGGACAAGGTGCAGAGTGTCGCGTGGCAGGTGAGCGCGGCGGGGCCTGCGTCTGGCACAGAGAACCCGGCGGTGCTGCTGTCCGGGAGCTACGACAAGACCATCCGCGTGTTCGACACGCGCATGCCCGAACAGGCGCTCTGCGCGTCGATCCCCGCGGATGTGGAGGGCGTGCGGTGGAACGGGTGGCGGGAGAACGCGTTCGTCGTCGCCCTCGAGACCGGGGCCGTGCAGGGCTTTGACGCGCGGAACATGGGCGCGCCGCAGTACACGCTGGTCGCGCACGACGGCGCATGCACGACGCTAGATGTCAGCCCGCACATCCCCGGCTGCCTGCTCACCGGCGGGACGGACCGGCAGGTGAAGCTGTGGAGTGTCGACGGCGACGGCGGCGGCGACGGCGGCGGCCGGCCGCGCAGCATCAACCTGGTCACCGCGCGCGACCTGGACATCGGCAAGGTGTTCACCGCGTCCTTCTCCCCGAACGACCCGCTCACCGTCGCGGTCGCGGGGTCGTCCGGTCGCCTCCAGGTCTGGGACACGCTCTCGAATCCCGGCATGCGCCGCACGTTCGGCGACCGGTTGCGGCGCATGGACGAGTACGCCGCACGCCTAGGCGACGAGGTCGCTCCCGTGCATCTCGACGAGGCCGAGGAGCGCTCCGGTGTCGTCCACGTGGCTGACGACCGCGAGTCCGACGAGGACGACATGGACGAGTAGCCGCGCAGTATGGAATCCGCCCCATCCCACCCCCCCTTCCCCGATCGCGCCCGATCGTAGACCCGTCTAGTGTGTGCGGGGGCCGATGGGTGGACTCCGCGGGGGGGAGTCCCGCCCGATTCGTGAATTTTGTCCCTTTTTTCGTGCCCCCTGGTATGAGAGGCCAGACGACGGGCGGCGGTGCCGAGGAACCCTCCCCGGAGCACGCGGCGCACAGCGGCAAGGGCACGCCGGCCCCCGCGCAGCGGTCCCGACCTCCGCGCTCCCCGCGCTCCTCTCCACGTGGGCCGCCGACAGACCTGGACATCTTTGAAGACGCGCTGTTCACCGTGTTTGGGCACCACCAGCCGGCGCACGGCGAGCCAGGGTCCACCGGCACGTACCGGAACGAACGCCTTCCGGCGTGGTGCGCGGGCGAGGAAATGGACACGCGGCACATCCGGTACCGCATCGCGGACGCTAGCAGCGCGAACACGCGTCTTTTCGCGCACCACCAGTGGGATGCCGGCACGTACTTGGCCGACATCATCGTGCGCGGCGCCTGCAGCGCCGACGATGCGGCACGCTGGGCGGACGTACGGGGGCGCGCGGTGGTAGAGCTTGGGGCGGGGACGGGGCTCCCGGGCCTGGCGGCCGCCGCCGTCGGGGCGCGACGTGCGGTGCTCACAGACTACCCGGACAGGGATGTGCTGGAGAACCTCGCGCAGAACCGCGCGCTGCTCATCGCGCAGCAGCGCGCGCACGGCGGGCCCGCGCATCTCGCGGGCACGCTGCACACCGCGGGGCTCGCGTGGGGGGATGCGGCGCAGGCAGAGTGCGCACAAGTGCGCATCCGCTGACCGGCAGACACGCTCGCGCACTGGCGCACGGCCGTGTGGACATGGTGTTGGCGGCCGACGTCCTATGGGTATCCTCGCAGCACGACGTGCTCATTGGCACTGTGCGTGCCCTGCTCGCGCGTACCACCGACGCGCAGTGCATCATCGTCGCGGGCTTCCACACGGGGCGCCCGGCGACGACGCGCTTTTTCCGCTCCATCGCGCAGGGGCCAATGGGGCTTGTCCCTGATCCACGCGCACCGTTTGGCGGCATGTACGAGCAGAGCATCTTTGGCGAACGGAGGAAATGGCGGGGGGGCAGGGTGGGAGAGGGAGGGGAGGGAGGGGAGGGAGCGCAGGCCGAGGACGAGGAAGAGATGGGGGATATCGGGGAGCGCGCACGTTGGGTCGTTGTTGCGAGTTTGCGGTGGAAAAAAGAGGCGAGAGAGAAGTGAAAAGGGGCGGTCGCGGGAGCGGCCAGGGACATAGGCGGCCGGGGAAAGGAGAGGGAGGGGAGAGGGGGACGGGGGACAGAGACAAGCGTAGTGGAGCAGGGAAAGCGGGGAGTGGAGGAGGGAAAACGGGACAGTGTGAAGGGGAAGAAGGGGGAAGAGAGGTAAGAAAGAAAAAGTGGAAGCCAGAGAGGGCATGGGCGCTCCAAGGATGCGTTGGTACGCGCGTGGAGCGGCGTCATTCTGTAGCGCATCGCCAATAGGACTGGACATTTGAAGACCGGGGGCTGGCGCCCCCGCGCTCGTCGAGATGACCCCGGATTTCCCGCCCCCTCGCGATGCCATGGCCAAGGGACCTGTCCTTTTTTTCCACTCCCACCCGTGTTGCACTGTCACCACTCTTCCTGCCCACTTTTGCCCCCCCTCTTCTTTTCTTCCCCCCTCCTCCCATCGCCCATTCTCCGCCCCCTTTTTCCCCTCCCTCACCCCATTCCCTCCCGCTCCCTTTTCCCCCATCCCTCACCCCATTCCCCCGCCCCCATTTCCCCCCTCTTTCACCCCAATCCCCCTCCCGCTTCCCCCCG